TCCGGCCGCTTACACATCATCGCCCCGAAATAGTGAACAGTTCCGAACCGTGACAATTTTTCTAGTCAGTGCTTGGTTAGCAACCATATACTAGTATTTTATATACGTATATACATGTACACTTATCAAGACGTTTGGACACCTTTAAAATGATATTTCAGTTTGCAGCCAAATGTATTATTCTGAGTTATAGTATTGTACATATGAAATTAAAAGGAAACTAAAAAACACATCAGTCATTACTCGATGGGCGGGATTTAGTTTCCGGATAATAATTATGACGTTCAAATGGTCCCCGTCCTGTTTTATAATAGACATAAGTTATGTCGACATGGTCTGATACAGATGTTGTACAGATTCTATGTCTCTCCATCAAAACCATAATACAGCACGCCATGTCGGACTAACATATATCAACATGACCACATATAAATTATCACGGACCACGGCATCTCGGGGGGTAAATTCAAGCTTCCATATATAAAAGATAATATTTCACAACGTTAAATAATTTAAAAGGCTGCTTACTCTAAATGATTGTTTTTGTAAATACATGTATTGAAAATGACACGAAAAGCATTTTCTAGTATTACTACGCACTCATTTTTACCGATATAATTTTATATAAATAGATGATTAGACAATCTTACAAAGGCATGTCTTAAATTAGATTGCAATAGTGTTTTCTTATTCCTATAACATTGAAACAATGACAGTTTTGAAACCTGATAATAATCCGACAACGGAAGTCTCGAAGTAAACAAAACAAACATATTAATAACTGTTATATTAAGTCCATTTATGATTTTATTTGAAAAAAAAAATAAAAAAAATTACAGATACATGTATAACTTATTGAATCTTAACAATGAATGAAATGAAAACAATGCTTTTGAACAGTTTGAGACATAAACTGAGGGAGAATGATTGTCGGGCAGAAAAAACAAAATAATTAATAATTTAATCAACCACTGTTGATATATGTTTTGAATCGTTCCGCGGTTTAAGCAGCAATCAATCTTCAATAACCAGATGAATATAAGAATTCTGAGATGAAGAACATAGCTTCTGTTAACAAATTCCTTAAATTATACATATATACTCTCAAAATCACGCAAATACACATAGTATAATGACATATAGCTGAGGTGAAGGGACCTCCGTGGCCGAGTTCTTAATGTCGCCAACTTCATATCACATGTCCTTCATTGCTGTGGGTCCAGTCAGTGAATCCCGTTATGGATTTTGAATTCTTTTATGTAAGGAAGCTATCCTATCGAATTTAGTCTTATCAGGTGCCTGCTAATCAAGAAAGGGCACTGTTGACCTTCCTTGACATGAAAACTGGAAAACTGCCATATTTCATTTACAGTTTCCGCGTGTCTTAAAATCCAACAAACAAGCTTACTATTGTAGTTTACATTTAATCTCCATTGTTAGATTCAAATTTGCGTACTTTAACATCTACATTATACACCTGCAAATAAAACGATGTGTAATTGTTATAGCATAGCGACGAGACTGTTGGAAGCATCAAGTGTCTATCTGTACAGAAAATAATGAGACGGCTATAGTGGATTTAGGGTTCTATCTCTAAAATATTGAGGCAGAAACAGTGGATCGAAGGTCTTTCTATAAAAAACATGATTGCGACGGAAACACTGGATACATTTTTTTTGTATCCATCTTCTATCCATCTTCTATTCATGAATCTTCTTACATAGTCTGTCCCGCCCAAATTAGTTAAATGTATTCAACTTAACAAATCATATGAGTGTGCATGTATAAATGGTATCATAATATTATTATTATGTGTGTCAATTTTGGCACGATTGTGCTGAACTTTTCATTATATACAGTTGAGAGACATGATATGATATTCCATTTATCAAATATCATAAGAAACACAAATTAAATAAACATGCCAAAAATATGTAACGTGCGTTATACGCCAATGTCGCAAAATTAATGTATCATTGAAAATTATTCTTATATCGTATGAATGTTGTTATCAACCTGGCAGCGTTGTGGTATGGATTTGACCAAGTCTTTTTCATAATATTGGAGGAGATTTATTCTCTATTGGACAGACAATCTTTGCATATTCGTAGTCGATGGTTTGTGCCACTGTACGAAAACTGCTTATGAGGTGGTTCATTTAACCCCATTGAGATTCTATCACATTTCCGTATAGCTTCTATCACATTTAAGTCTAGAGATGTTGGTGATATTCCAATTCATTGATTGATGTTGGTGATATTCCGATTCATTGATGTTGTTTATGAATGTTTAGAAAGATTATTGGCGATCTGCCTGTGTACATGTAAGGCATCCTGTAAAAACTGCAATCATATGTTGTTCTTAAGACATTGATAAACCCGTAGTTTGAAGCTCATTGTATTGAAATTACTGTTAATGAACACATTGTTAGTGGCACAGACTTGCTGAACTTCCCTGTGGAGTGCAACAGACCATTGCCAAGTAACCAGCCAAGATTTCTTTAGATTAAAATCTACCCTGAAATTAAATGTACAAACAATAAATCAAACTACCATGTTATTATCAAAGTCATTGTAAACGAACATTGTTTTAGAATAGAAATCACAGGTGTTATAATTTTGCGAAATCACAATCACATTTATAGGCCATGTGTGTTAAATTTGTGTTTCTTATAAAAATAAATAAATGGAGTATCATACCATGTCTCTCACCTATATATATTGAAAATTCCAACATAATAGGGTCAATATTGACTCACATTATATATCATACATGCACATTTATAAGATTTGTTAAGTGTATATATGTTGTTTTTTTACCTTTTTAACACTATGTCACATTAACCCATTAGAGTATATAAGCAGTCTGTTTTAAAGGCGTATGCAGTGGTTATAGTAGAATAATAAATTTTGTATATCAATTTATTCAAACTTTGCATGAATTATGAATATGATATATTAAACAAACAAATAAACAATCAAACCAAAAAAGTGGTTAACCGGCTTTGTTTCAAGTTATACGTCATTGAAAGTGACTTTCTGATTAATGACAGATTATGAATCCCAGTGTTTCTGTTATCATATTCTTAGATAATGCAATGTATAAATAATATATAGAGGATATTCAAGTTTTTTCTATAAATACATGTTTTTTTTTTCATTGAGTGGTATGAAAATAAATATTTCATGAGTGGCAGTAGCCACGAGTGAAATATGGTAATTTTCATGCCACAAGATGAAAATAAATCATGTATTTATAGAAAAAACTTGAATTTTCTGCTTTTTATATACAATTTTCTCTTTCAGGACATTAAAATTTGCAAGACTTTCCCTTAAATTTTGAGTACTGGCAGAATTTAAAAGAAAGTAGTCCGGCAAGACACCAGTGAAAATACGGAAAATATGTTTCACTGCAGTGAAAAATAAATTTTTACAGTGAAAATACGGAAAATGAAAATACGCATTTTATTTCATCAATATTTCTCAATATTTCATTTAAAAGTATATAATAAACAGTTTTATTTCAACTTTATGTTTATATGCAGCTGTAGCATATGCCTTTAACTACAGCTGTCTTAAATTTGGTCTAAAATCTCACCATGCAATCAAATGCCCTAGTAACAGATGTTCCCATGCATATATGAACCAAGAATGATTTTATGTTTTAAATGTACCTGTATATGATATAATTTACATATTTAGCATACGGGCGATCAATTTAATTGGATACATTGCAACCCAACATCGTGGTTATATGTTTTATTTACGTTTATACATGTTCGCTCTATTTATAGACGCTAAGACATGGACTGATTTTGTGTTTATATAGAATATAGATAAAACAATTGTTAAAGGATAATATTGACAACATGTCAGCAATGAATCAGTGTAAAGCAGTCTTCATATGGAAGTAATACATTATGGATTATACTGATAAAAGATAAGTGCAATAATCATAAAGCTAAAACACGTACAGATATAATACACCATATAATATAATCTAAAAATAATCACATATGATTTTCATATTTTTTTATTCCTTATTTTCTGTTTTCTTCCTTGAGTAGCGTATATCTAACACCTTTTATATCGTTAACTTCCACATTATATTTTGCTACAATGTACTTTTTTCTAACTTTTATTTGTATATTCAAGTTTATGTCATACTTATACATTATATAAAATATGAAGTTTAAAAATAGTTGGTTTCGCTCTAATGCTGTAACGACATCTTGTGTCATGTTTGGACGACATCAATAGAAAGGAAGATGCAGTAACAATTAATTTTTTGGTAAACCGTCGTCGTGTTAGTTCAAACATTTTTTTTTGTTAGCGGCAACAGTATAATCAGTATCTGCAACACCACTACTACTAACACCATCAACAACAATAATGTGTACTGCAGATAATCGTTCTTGTTCAAGTAAAAGTAAAGTAATAAATAATGAATTCATTACAGTACATGTATACATTGCGCTCAGGCAAGTGCAAAATATACGAATTCGGTAAGTGATTGCTTGATATTTAAAAACGAAAAATTAATATATCAAACTATTGAAATATATGTTTATCTGCAGACATTAAAATTTGCAGTTGTTTACGTCAATGATAGGAGGTAAATATTAAGGAAATTAATTGGTAAAATAATGCAAAAACTAGCAATTTTTACAAACATGTGTTGAGTGATGGGAACTGTAAATGATTACTTAATATAACACGTATTGAATATTGTCTTCATTGAAGTGCTTTCAAGTACAATATTAAATGTCTTATTTACAACTGTCCAAAAAATAATTATTGTTACAAAAGACTATCTTTATTTCCATCTTCACATTTGTTATATGCTTGATTGAAATTGTATAAGTTGGTCGGTTACTAATGCCAGTTTATCATATTATGTATGTATATAATTTACAGGTCAATAATGTATAAATTAAAGGTCAATAATATATAAATTAAAACTCAACAGAAGAATGCTTCGGCTGGGAGGCAAAGACTGAAAAATACAGTAATTACTATCGTTCACAAGATTATTCAAACCGAAACTGAAATATTTTCAAATTTGCCTTCTTAGGCTTTCTTTAATTTTTTCCATTTCTTTTTTATTCTGTCGTGCACAAAGATATAGAACAGGTACAATTGTCTTGATTTATCGTTAGTCCCGACCAGAAATTCGCTGCTGATGCTGGTGTCAAGAAAGGCATAAAAGAGAAGTGAATTAGCATGAAGAGAGAAACTGAAAACGAGAGAAACAAACATTTACCGATAGACAAAGGCTGGGCATGGTTTGTTCTTGCCGGTAAGCAGCAATATCATCACAAATATCATGATTGCCAAACATTTTCACAGGTCATTTTAGATCGTTTTTTAAAATTAATATATATACCTTTACAAATTTTTGAAACTTACTTTCAGATCGATATACATAGTATTTTCATTGACAACTGATTGTAATTTCAAAAAAGGGGAAGGGTTTTGAATAAAATAAAAGAATCTAGCATAAATTTATTCATGCTATATAACACATATCAATGCATATGTATCTTTAACAAGATAACATCATTTCTAAACATTCATTTCAAGAATTTCAATTTTACCGTGATGTGCAAAGTGATATCGGATTGTACAGAATAAATTATTTGGGTTTCTAAATGTATTTGACACTGTACTTTATTTTCAATACTTATGACAGAAGAATGTCTCAAATATCTTAATAAGTTTAATTATGCCATATTCATTACGTTGAAAAATTTCAAACTTTATCTTTTGCAGGAACAATATTTTATATGATTTTACACGGAGGTATAAAGAGGAATTATGGTATAGTGTTCGTGGCTATCCAGAGCAAGTTTGGATCTACAGCTTCTCTAACGGCGCTCCTGACAACAATGCAGAATCTAGTCATGAGCTTCTTGTGTAAGATGGTCTTGTTACTATCATGATTATGTTTTTGTTCCTATGTAAACAATATACATGCAGATCCACGTTACTCGAATTCCGTTTCTCTCGAAGTAAAAAAATGCTCAGTCCCTTGGATTTCGAGTTACCGAGAGTCAACTGTATATGGAAGGAAATCAGAGGCTTAACTTAAATAGGTATAAATCTGCACACCGGAGTGGGTATCTTATTTCCGGTTATTAGCTCTTGATATCAAATGTCAATTTCAATGATATATGACTAAAGTAGACATTTTTTACAGAGTTTTGCAAGTGACAATTAATGCAAAAAGATAATCTGGCAAATTATGCATAGAGTTCCTGTAAATGTTGCTTATTTTTTTAACTAATTTCTTTGATAATTTTACATACAATGTACATTTGTTTTTATATTTTTATTTCATTGCACTCGATTGATCTCCACTTTCATTACTGGTTGCAGCTTTGATCATCATGGCTCTAGGGATGCATGTCATGTCTAAGAGGACATCAATAATGCTAGGGGCTTTGACTATCACAGCTGCACACATTATCTCAGCGTTCGCGACAGATTTACGTCTGCTGTTCGTCTCGATAGGTTTCCTAGAAGGTAAGCCAATAGATTCTGTCTTGTTACCACAATGGCCAAACTCTGTTGCCAATTTTTAGCATATTTAAGTACTGTAAAAGAGTATTGAAAGGACGTCACATTAATTAAGTATTAAATTTTTTTAAGATCATTGGTTTTACTAGTTTATTTTGAAACATTTTAGTGAACGCTCATGTACTACAAATGCATCATTTTGTTTATGCTTTTATAGGTCTAGGAATTGCCTTGTCAAATCCTGCTATCATTGCAACTCTAGGAGAATATTTCCATAAGAGAAGGGGACTAGCAAACGGTTTAACATTTAGTGGCGGTAGTCTTGGCGGTCTGTTATTTGCACCGATCTTTTCAACATTGTTTACAGACTATGGATATACGGGAACATTTTTAATAATCGCTGGATTAACCATGAATATTCTTGTAACAAGTGCTTTGTTGAGACCATTGAAATCTTTTGAAAGAAATACCCAGAAAGCAGAAAAGTTAAAATGTAAAACAGATGTTTTGGCAAATACTGCAGAAAATGAAAAATTTATGCCAGTTTTAAACAAGAATTTAATAAGCAGTTCTCCTGACAAACTATCTGGTTCACCATTATTACCGCGGGCAAGAGCCTTGTCTGTCGGTAACAGACAAGCACAAACTGTTTCTCAAGGTTCACATAAAGGGTTATCGCCCTTAAATAATCTTGTTGAATCATTATCACGTTCACGTGTGGCGTTGTATGCAAGTGTTGACGGGATTTATGGATCTATTACTGATATCCGAGACAACGAAATAGACGACAAGAACGACAATGACGAATGCAAAATCCCAAAGACAACAATTTTAGATAAGCTTAAAGCTTCATTTGAGGTCAATTTATTTAAAAGTCCATTATTTCCTGTGTTTTTACTGATGGCAGCAGTACTTGCACCAACCAGTTATTTAATTCCACTGTTTATAGCTCCTTTAGCAAATGATATTGGTTTAAGTGCGGACCAGATTGGATTATTGATGTCAATTGTATGTGGTGTTGGGATGTTCTCCAGAGTTACTTGTGCTTTATTTGCTGATAAAAAGTTTATGAGGTTGACTACACTTTTAGCAGTTGTTTCAATAATGTCGGGAATAACAGCACACTGCATAAGATTGTTCACTTCTTTTCCATTATTGGTTTTCATGGCTGTGGTAATAGGTATGTGGTTCATTTAAATTGTGAAAGCAGTAAACCAACTATAAAACAATTTATTCATGAATTAATTAAAGCTATTACAATGACCGACTTATCAAAATAAGGCATGGAATTGTCTACAATTTATACTTCAGATCAATTATACTCTTTTAGTTTATATCATTTCTTATAAGTGTCAGTCTATGTAATCCTTATGAAAATGACAATGAAATAAGTGTTTGATATTACCAAACAATTACAAAGCTATGTATTTGTTTTGTAGGTTTGTCCACTGATATATATCTATCAATGTATCCAGTTATTTTGGTGGAATTTTTGACTTTACCCAAGTTGAAAACCTGTATCGGATTCACCATATTATGTCACGGGTTGGCTGTTGCAGTCACATTCCTTGTTGTCGGTATTACCATTTATCTATTCAATATTTATTTCATAGACTTATATTTCCGTGATAGCATTCGATCGTCGTGATCATTTAAATAAAGATACATTTTGGTTTCTTGCTTATCATACAAGCATATTTAAGTAATTTCAGTGTGTTGGCTTCTGCAAACGTTACATAAGTCATGTCTCTGGTTTAAAAAAAGGAAACAATAAGAAAGAAAGAGAGGAAAAGAATTCCCTAAAGAACGCCAAAATGGCAAAATTGATAATACTGCAGGCTAAGTCCCATTGAATCCGTTCATGGACGGTACTGGTACTTGCAAACTACTATCCACGCGTTAGCTCCGAACTGAGCAGTAGTCAACATTTATAAATGTGGCAATGTTGAAATTTTGGGAATTAGATGCACCGAAGACATGTTAATACATTGTATTGTGGTAATAATCGAACCTTCAATGTGTAATTTTCATGCAGTACCATTACAAGCACTAAAAGCGAGCTTGAATGAAGCGCGGGGTGGGGGGGGGCGATTATTTACAGCATCCACATTAAAAAACAACACTGATGTGACAATAAAATAGATAAAAACGGAATTGCAAAGAAACGCCTTAAACGGCAAAAATAAGAATGATTCAGACGCAGTTTGATTAGGTGTGTCATGGACAATAGTGGTATTTTGCAAGCTACATTTTAGTATTTTTTTTTTTGAATTCATAATGCGACAGTTTGGATATTAGACATGTAGCATTTCCTAGTTGACCTCTAAAAATGGTTTATAAACCACGACAAAGGGCTCGTGACTTGTACGTAATCAATCATACCGAGTCTGCAATGTTCATGTAATTTTGTTGTGATTAATGCTTCCAAGGGATCACACTTTATCCAGATGTTTTATACTTCACAACAGCGGAGTTAAATGCCGTGTGGCAGCTGTAAAAAAGTTGCCATATACTTCACTTCAGTGTTGTTATGTTTTTCTGATCCTTCGGGATCATTGATTGATAATCGAAAGTTGAGTACCGCTAAAGCCGGTGCTAGGGGCGTAAATGATGTTACCCTTTTTCATTATCCCTCATTTACAGACTCAGTCAACAGAGTCTGCAATTTTTTATGTTATTTTGATGTGATTGATGCTTCCGATGGATCACACTTCATCCAGTTTTTTTTAGACATGTTTAAACTAAAGGTAACATTTTAATTTTCCTTTGGAAAACTAGAATGCCCATAGTAGAAATATCTAGTATGTAGTATTGCCTAGAACTAAAAGTTACATGAATCATATCAAGAAGTAAAACCCGGCCCCTGTATGGTGCACCTAGTTTGATAAATTATGAAAAACAAGATCACCAAGGAAGGGCGACATTCAATGAACGCAACCTCCACACGACCCAGCAACACGGGACCACCGACAAGGTAGCAAGCAGAACCAAAACAGGATATGACACAAGGGCTAAACACTGCCGGGATGATTACTTTGATAATACATAATAGGAAATAATAGAAACCGACAAGGAAATTAAAGAAGTATTAAAAATTCAAAACATTTTTCGGACAAATTTCCTGTATGGGGGTTCTTTCATAATTAAAAGATAACTTTTTAATACTGCTATTAAGCGTATTATAACCCAAAAAAATGGGTTCTTTCTGTTCTTTAATTAGATGAATAATTTTGTTTTATATTATTATTTTTCAAATCATATTCTATTTCAGGTTCGTTAAGAGATTCAACCGGAAGTTATTATGCGTCATACCACTTTCTGGGAACCATGTCATTTGCTGGAGCTGCTTTTGCATTGTCTTTGCCGTATTTGCATAGGCGACAGCAAGAAAACGAAGTTTAATTCCATAATTATGTTTTACATGGTAGCTGAAATAGTATGTGGATGAGATGTGAGGAAATTATTTTTAAAAAAATGCATATAAACATTTTGGTATGTACTGCTGTAAACAACTGATATAGTTATATAAATATAAAGTACAGTAATTTTCATTTGTAAGACATAATACATGACTGTGTCTATTTTGAAAGACTGATGTTTTGTGTTATTATATAAAAAAAATAAAAGCACAGTATTTACAGAAAATGTATGGTGAATAAATCACACTTTCACCATTACAAACTTGAATTTAGTTTTTTAATCGGGTTTGTACTTCTTTGTACATATTACAATGAAAAACACATTACGATATAATAGCTTGCAGTAGAGATAAGGACAGAATATACGCTCGTACTATAGTGCTCTGTCTACATTTACATAGCCAGCACTGTGACACAAGCGTTCTAATATTCCCGTTCTTGTCTGCAGGCATGCATCAAAAAGTTGATAACAACATAAGATGATAATGGTATTTTATCAAAACGTAGTTCTTTTTTTCCCTGTAATATCTAAACAAGATTAGTTTTTTTTATCATTTTTCACGCTTCAAATGATTGCTCATTCTTTAAGAAAAGTCATATATCATTAACAACTATTGATATGTAGATATTTACGTTTTAAACTCTTTTCTTTTCTAAAAACATATCGTTGTTTGCGCATCAATCGGTCTTCGACACAAAATCTGATGCAATCAGTGACCTCGAATGAACAGATGAATATAACAATTCTGTAATAAAAAAAAATGTCTATAAACAATTATCTCACAACATTTTTCACATAGGCTATCTTTCAAAAGGACAACGCAAGATATATAAAAAAAGAAATAAATAAAAAAGAAAAAAACAAGGCAACAGATAGCTGAAATCATAATTCAGCCCCTTTATCAGATTTCAATTCTCGTGCTTTGAAATTTATGCTTTAAAATTTATATCCTGATATTTTTTTTCATTTTGCAGTTGCATTAAAAATAAGTATCCCTAGAGAACCGCAAATATGGCAAATGGTTAAATGTTGCATTGAGCCTGTTCATAGACGGAAGTGGTAATTGCAAACTACCGTTGTTTATAAATGTAAATTGTGCTGTGTCAATATTGTGCAGAGTGTCGAATCAACACGATTTTATTTCTTTGTTTGGCTTTTAAGATAGAGCGATTTTTTTCCAAACAATTTATAGTAATATATGGCACTTAGTTATAAAGTTAAAATGAACCAATAAGATATACCCTTCAAGAATGGCCAAATAAAGTTGGTATAACTTTGGTCTGACTACTTTGTAAGTACATTGTAATTATGTTTGTAAGATAATGATGTTAAATTGTGTTAATATATTATACTGTATGTAAATATGCAATAAAATATGATTAAACTAAATTGTCACATTACATTTCACTCAAATAGACGGATTTCAAAACTGAATACCATGATCATCTTGAAAGTCATAAAAGTGCGCATATAACTACATACGTCATGTCTTAAGGAAGATTTATGCAGACAAGTTCACCATCACTAATTTTTTTTTACGAAAAAAGATCAAGGTTTTTTTTAATATAAACACTCGAGCGTTGCGTCTCATGGAAAGTCCTAAGTCTAAAATATGTCCAAAACTGAGACTATTTTCGTTTCAAAGAAAATGTTTTAACATATGACTCCTTAATGTTAAGGCTTTCATGCAGTTTCTGATGCAGATGATTATTTACACATTGTAGCTTGAAGCTCATGCCATTGTATTTTATATCTTTTTTTGCAGGAGAACGTATTAGATAAATTAAAGTATAAAACTTTTACTCAAGATGAAAATATTCATTGAAACGGTCTTAAGTTAGTCCTATAGTTTGTCACAAGTCCTATGACTTAGGAATCACTTAGGAATTTCTATAAAAAAAACCCATGCTCCAGACAAAACTGTTCTCTACTAAGTGCTCTGTCTGCTGTACCCATCCTCGGTGCCGCAGAGTCCCACATCTGAATATAATTGTACTAATTTCCAGTCTCTGTATTATATAGCCAAATGACCCGTGTATTTTTTGTCTACAAAATACGATGTGCTTTATTTGAAGTACAGCACTTAATTTAAAGAAACGTACTTTATTAGAGTTATCAAATTGGCTATTTTTACAAATCAATCGTATAAAAGACTGACCCATATACTGGTATTGAACTTTAAGTTCAAGAAGATCTTTTATTAAATGTTTTCATTCAGAACTAATTTTCTGTTTCTGCAAGCTAACATTTGAATACTTCTGTAGGTATAGGAACAAAAGGTAACTATTCTTTTTCTTTGATGTCATTCATTCCATAAGCTTTTGTGTGGCTATTTTCCTTCATGTTGCTTTAAAAGTTATGAAGAACAATAGAGAGAACAATGAAGTAACCACATAAGTATTGTCCCGTTTGAACGTCCGTTTCTGTATACATGGGTTACATATATGTCTTCTTTCAGATGATTTTCAATTATCTCTTTTCTCAGATGTTTTTATATTACGTTTATACTTTCAGATGATTTTATAAAATGTCTACTTTTAGATGTTTCATGCATTTTTCCGCGCTGTATGCACTTTGATAAATATATTCCCTTGTTTTACGCCAGAAATTGTTACTCTTTATTTAACGCGTTTGTTTTAAATCATGAGAAAATGAGGAAAAGTTATCTTACAATTGTCGTGCATTTATTTATTGGTTATAGTTTCATCTGTCTATTTATCAATCATTTATTCCAATTAATCTTGAAGTGTAAAGAACTTGTTTTCTTTAATTAACAGTAAAATTAACTCTAAACTGTAATTATAAATAAAGTCAGTGGCCTTTCAACACCAGTTATATTGGTACGTTTTAGGTAAACATGTAAATGATATAATTTACATATTTACCACACGGACGATCAATTTAGAACACAAAAATAAATAACCAACATTTATCTCGTGTGTGTGTGTGTTTGTTTACATTAAATTACACATTTTCGTTCTTTTTAAAAAGGCATTATCATGGATATGATGAATGATATTTTTTTTTTACTACACGTAAAGTATGAAACAGTGTATAACAGTCTTCATATGTTAATAATATACTTTGGATTTTAGTAGTAATGAAAAGCCAGACCAGTTGTCCAAAGAGCAAGATGATATAAAATTACATGTAGGTAAAAACAATCTTTATTATTTGTTTTGTAGAAAAGAAAAGCTCTTTCTTATGAGTCACACATTTTTATGTCGTCTTCTTTCTCACTTCGATTTTTCTATATTTGAATATTATCTAATTAAAAATCACTGCTTAAGTTTATTTCAAAATAATATGTATACAATGTAGTGGTAACATATTTGGTTTCGCTCTAATGCTCTAATGTCATCTTACATCCTCTTTTAGTAAACAACTCTTTACTTTGTTCATAGTATCAGCTTGAACCTTCGCGAACTAAGCAGGAAATTGGTAAATCTCATATCAAATTAGTTGAATCTAAATTATGATTTATTCTGAAGACTAGTAAACCAACGCTTTCAATATATAGTAGTGGTTAAGAAAGTGAAGGACGTGAAGTTTACATAAAATTTACTTGGGGATCAAAACTTTATATCTATTTTAACATTGCATTCATTCATTCGTAAGCACATAATATTAACAGCTAATGGTTGATGGATTAAAACTGGATTATATAACTACGATGAAGTGAAAAGGCATTTTGTTTTGCCTTCTAATAAACACGCTTTGAAATACACTCTATAGAATTGGAAACAAATGCCTACAACTGGAAAGTGCGCTTCCCGTCCAGTTAATTATGTTGTGTTCGCGTCAAATTGGAAACTTTACCAATGATGAATTGTAAATTGTTCATAAAATGAAATAGTTATTGTATGAAGATTTCGGAGAATATTCAAGTCTGTGGATCAGGCTTATGTAAATAATAAATAACCGACGCTCATATACGTTAATATTCACTTCATCATCACACAAGAATTGTATAACTTTGCATTCACGTTGATTCAAAATTTGCTATGGTTTGAGCTTCCATTGCATAATTCAAAGCTAACGATAGGATGAGAATATGCATATTTGGCGTTTGCAGCGGCCTTTGACACAATGAAAAAATTCCATGAAAGACAATTCATAAATTATGTTGCTAGAAATAGTAAGTAAATAACAAATATCATTTTACAGGTTTATGTCGTTTAATATTCTTTTTTATTTTAAATATTTTTCAGGTGAACTTCGCAAAAGGTCGTGAGTTTCAAATTTGAATAAATGAATACCTAATTTCATTTTCAAACCGGATCTTTGTGGTTTATTGTTTGATATTGTATAAGGTCGCAGATATGGCAAAATTGAAAATTCAACAGAGGAAATGACTATGGTAGAACATAAACAGCTGTCTGGACTAGACAACAACCACGCGCAGGAACACGTGGATCATTCTATTGCTACCGGAGACGAGAGAGAGAAGCAATCTACCATAGAAGAAGTTAAAACCACACATTTACCGATAGACAAAGGCTGGGCATGGTTTGTACTTGCCGGTAAGTACCAAAAGATTATTGCAAATTAAAATATCATTACAAAATAAAATATCATTACAAATTAGAAGATTATCATACATATTTAAAAGATAGTTTGTAGAACGTCGTCTGCATAATAGTTTGATTAGTCTTGCTATGTTTTTATTTTGTTTGTTTGGATTCGGTTTTGCTTCATAACATTGTGTTTGAATTTGAAAAATGATAAATTCCAATATAACAACAAATCATATCATCGTTTGCAGGAACAACATTATTTATGATTATACACGGAGGTATAAGGAAGAATTATGGTATTTTGTTCGTCGCTATACAGACCAAGTTTGGATCTTCAGCTTCTCTGACGTCATTACTGACAACCATGCATAATCTAGTCATGAGTTTCTCGTGTAAGATAAGCCTAAATACTAGCAATGTTTTGTTCTTCCTTACTTTAAAGATCTTGTATGTTGAAATTGAGGTTATATACCACACTTAAGTGAAATTATATATATATATGTCTATAATCATACATATTAAACAATTTTCAAACATCGAAGAATATGTAAAATATCTACTGCAAATATTTTTACATATAATATGTAATCATTAAAATATATGCATTCATTTCTTATTGAAAAATTTAACTTAGTCTTTATAGATAATAAATTTTCTATAACCGCCCTTTATTTACATGAAATGTTAAGTTCGGTAATACCTTTATAAATAATGCTTTTTGGAACTTACAATATTGATAAATTTTAATTTGAGCATCATATTTATGATTTAAAACCATAAAAAGTTGTGTTACAGGATCTTAAGCTGTAAAACAATCTAAGAGATAATTAAGATAATTAAAGAAGACTGTTGATACTCGGTTACAAAAGTAAAACCATTTGCATAGTTTTAATGTGGAAATTAATGCAAACATTAGACGATTTAGCAACCTATTGACGAGTCGAAATGTTGTTTTATATACATAATATAAAACTATTTTTCATTTTCTTTCAATTGAATCTGCTATTTTCACTTATCTTTCTATTTCCCTATGATTTTATTACTTTTAAAGGATGGATGTCAATGATAATGAATTTTGATGATTTCTGATTATTTGCAGCTTTGATCATCACGGCTCTAGGGTTGCAGGTCATGTCTAAGAGGACATCGATAATGCTCGGAGCTTTGTCTATCACAGTTGCACACATGATCTCAGCGTTCGCGAAAGATTTACGTCTGCTTTTCCTGTCAATAGGTTTCCTAGAAGGTAAGCCATGTTGGTGTTGTCTTGGTTACATCAATGGCCAGATTCTCATTAGATATTTCAAACAAAAATTACTTTCAATGTAATTCCATATCAAGTAGAAAGAAAGTATTTCTCTAAATAATAAGTAGATGCATTAGTTTTCAGCATCTTTAGTTCTAAATGATTGTATGTCATTACTCCCGCATAATTTTGATTATTCTTTGTAGGTTTTGGAATCGCTTTGACAAACCCTGCTGTCATTGCAACTCTTGGAGAATATTTCGATAAGAGAAGAGGATTGGCAAACGGTTTAGCATTTAGTGGTGCTAGTTTTGGCGGGCTATTATTTGCCCCAATCTTTTCTACATTGTTCACAGACTATGGATATACGGGAACATATATGATTGTCGCTGGCCTCACTTTGAATATTCTTGTAACCAGTGCATTGTTAAGACCAATTAACTCTTTTGAAAGGCATAAACAGACGGCAGAAAACATAAATTATAAGACAAACTCTGAAAAGATTTTGGTAAATACTGAAGAAGATGAAAAACTGGAACCGTTACTAGATACAAAATTTCAAGACACAAAATCTGGTTCCCAATTGTTACCACGGGCTAGAGCATTGTCTCTTGGTTCCAGGGAGCAACAAACTGTTTCTCAAAGTAATGAGTTACTGCAGTTGAATAGTTCTGTCCAGCCAATATCACGGTCATGTATGACGCTGTTTTCAAGTGCTGACGGAATTTATGGGTCTTATATTGATACTCAAGACAAAGGAACAGGTGACATGAACACAAAAAGCATAAACAGAAACACAAAGTCAGCATTTATCAATAACCTTAAAGCTTCATTCGAAATGAAACTGTTTAAAAGTCCATTATTCCCAATGTTTTTATTGATGGCTGCTATGCTTGTATCGACCAGCTATTTAATTCCATTGTTTATAGCTCCATTAGCAAAAGATATAGGTTTAAGTTCGGACCAGACTGGAATCCTGATGTCAATTGCATATGGTATTGGAATGTTTTCAAGAATAATGTGTGCCTTATTTGCCGACAAAAAGTTCATTAGATTGACTACACTTTTAGCTGTTGTTTCAATACTGGCCGGAATTACAGCGCATTGTGCTAGATTGTTCACGTCTTTTCCTTTGTTAGTTTTTATGGCTGTGATTATTGGTAAGTTTGTTTTTTTAATTGTTAATGCAGTGAACATTATATTACATTATATTTATAAAATAATCTTATTATATTGAACCACAGAAATAAATGTATTGAAATGCTCAGATTAAATTTTACTATACTTTTCCTTACTTAATACCGGTATGTTTTCTGATAATGTCAAGTCTTTTACATGTAATGTCAATTACAATGGAATCTGTCTTAAGAGTTAGCCAACAATTAAAACGTCATGTCTTTGTTTTGTAGGTTTGTGCTCTGATATATATCTATCAATGTATCCAGTTGTTCTGGTGGAATATTTGACGTTACCCAAGTTGAAAACCTGTATAGGATTCACTATATTATGTCACGGGCTGTCCGTTGCAGGCACATTCTTTGTTATTGGTAATAGCATTCATGTATTTTAAGCAATTGATATTCATGATCATTTGAATACTAAAATATTTTTGGTAATCTTTTAAGTCTTTACATTTATGTGCTATTTCTGCCAAATTCTATGAATTTGTATTGTATATCTATCAATGGCAAGATTAGTCCCCGTCTTTTTGTGAAGTGTATTTTTAATGGAAGAACAAACCGTGTGTTATGAATAAATTCAATATGACACGAACATGCATGTAGTTTATATTCCTTCTATGGTAGATTATACAAAAGTCAAGTTGTTTAACTGCACTACTAACGTTAATCCACACACGGACATTTTGAAACATCTTTGTTTATCTCAAAAATAATTTTCATAGAGCTTGTATGTTACCGTTCTTTCTTTAAATTGCTTATTTTCTAATTTGTTTCACAAAGAAAACAGTGTGTGTTGTTTTTCCTCGAAAACTGATATCTTCAAACTATTTGAGATTTAGTGATTGATTTACAGGTAGTATCCAACCATTACTTTTATAATTTTTGAAACAAATCATCCTTTATTTCAGGCTCTTTGAGGGATTTGACCGGAAGTTATTATGCGTCATACCATTTCCTGGGAACCATGTCATTCGCGGGTGCTGCATTTGCATTATCTTTGCCATATTTCCATAGAAGACAGCAACAAACTGAAGTGAAATAGGATATATAAAAAAGTTAAGATAACATCGCAGTAAACGGTGTTGTGTTAATGGACGTTTTTTTGTAATAAACCTTCTTTTATGCATGCGTATAAAACTGAAAGATGTTGGTATAATAAAAAAATTACTTAGTAGATATATATTGGAAGATTGCAATCTTTGTTTTGTTTTATTTTATGAAGAAATATGCACGTAAGATGGTACAACATAATGATAACCGTTTACAGAAAGCTTTTGGTAATATGGCCAGAAACTGGTCAGTGTGATTTCATTATTAATCTCAAGCGCTGAAGGATGCGAATCAGTTTCATTCTTGCATCTAGCTTGCGAAAGAATTAGAAGAAACGTTGTTCTTTTCATCATAAAGTGATATAAACGTGCTTAATTATGTATCTTTTCGAAGAAGTACATTTGTAGGTGTATATTTCTTTGCACTTGTCTGTCTGTCGGTCAGTCCGTCTTCCTGTGCGTAGTCCAAATTATTTCCCATCAATAACTTAAGAATGCCTGAGCATAAGAATTTCAAACTTGGTATGACAAATAAATGACGTTTATTGATTTTATGTATGCCAAAGGGGTTTTCGAGTTTCTGACATGCTACAAACATCCCTTGGCTAGAAAAAAAATATCCAGAAAAAAATAACTTGACGATAACTGTTAATACCGCTTAAGCAATTCAGAAGATGACAGCTTTAACCTACATAGACATAGCATTTATGTTGTAAGCAACACTATAATTCTAAATTTATAAATAACATGGAAACCCAATTACATAAGCAAACATGCAACCGCGTTAGACATCTTTTGACCATCAATTCGTTATTTGGTAAGGCTTGAAACATTATAGCTCATTGACTCAATTGAAGTAAAGCACGCCCAAAACGGCAAAGTAAGATGTTACACGCTTGGTTTTATTTAGCATTTTCATAGACAGTATTGGAAAGCTACCGTCCATGTCCCTATCCTTGCACCGGCATAAGCAGAAATCAACATTTAATCATTTAAAAAGGATGCGTGTGCCTCACGAGAAGACAATGGGCGAAACTAAACAAAATGAAATTTTGAAAGGTTATCGATAGTTCTGATCCCTCGGAAGCATTAATCACAGCAAAATTATATGAAAATTGCAGACTCGGTTTGATTGAGTCTGTATATGAGAGATAATGAATAAGTGCAACATTCCTCACATCCCCTAGCACCGACTTGAGCAATTCTCAACACTTAATAGTGCTGGCATCAATGATCCCGAAGGACCAGAAACATATATCAACACGTCAAAAGACAAATATAAAATGCAGGCAACTTTTCATGTCATGTTCCTTTGTTATGAATAGAAATTACTGATTCTGTCAGATATCTCAACATATTATTTTGTCTACATCTGACTTTAGGATATGCTCCAGACAAAATTTTATACGAAAAATTACATACAAAATTCATTTACTCCAATGGAAAAATACACTGGACAATAATTTAATAATCACTTAATCTACGAAATTTCAAGTTGATATATCTAATAGTTCTTCAGTTTTGCTCCTGAAAATAAAATATAATGTGAAATTTACAAAGGGTAATAACTTCAAAATTATATATAAGAGAGTTATGGTTATAATAAAGAGCGTTTCTCCTAAATGAGATCACTCCAGCTGTGAAAAAGCAGAGTTTAGTGTAAAACTCATACTTTATATTATTTTCATAACCACAGATAGAGATAACATTTAAATGACATTTTACCGTTTAGATTTCCCTTGAATACCTAATAGTAACAAGGAACTGTAATTAGGAATTTCCGCTGCATTAGATGTGAAGCATAACACCAGATGTGACAGTAAAATTAGATCAATCGCAGGGTAAGTTTTAAACTTTTCAAACATTTCGATTTTCTTAAAAATTGGTTTGATTTTTATATAACTGTTTAAAAAGATGAAAACTTACCTTGCGATTGACCTAATTTCACTGTTAGATCTGGTGTTATGCTTCACATCTGGTGCAGCGGAAATTCACATAAACTGTTTACCGATGCTAATTTTTGAGAGTTAAAATCAATCCGATATATTTTACTCAAGGGGCAGGACGTGAAGTGGTTGCACACTTGGTTCAAGCGAGCGAATTAGTTGCAAACTTGACAAAATGGCGAACACGGCGTGATTTTTTGAAACGGGTGAACGAATTTGTGCCAGGCAAGTAGGGTTCTTTGTTATTTTGAAGTTCATTAGTATGTCTATACCATAATGCAATATATATGCCACACTCGGTTAAAGGTTTTATCATCCTAGATTTTGTTTTGACGAAGTTATTGAAGATATTAACTGATCATGTAGATATTTTGAAATTTGACATGTGACTGTTCTGGTCGATTTTTCTCCTAATTTATTCGAATTTGTAACTTTTGAACTGCATTTAACAATAACAAAATATGTTTCCGTCACTGCTGTACAAATGGTTTAGTTCGCAAGTCCGAAGATAACGTCCAATACACAAAAATATCTTGTTCAAGCACATTTTGGTTGCAGACTTATACTTCAAGCATTTTTGGTTGCAAACTTTTGTGTCAATAATGAGGCATGCATATTTTTAGCGAGGAATAACTAATTTTTTTATTTTTTTTTTAAATAATTAGCATTATTAAGGCAGTTATACCCGTTCATCTAATAAGAAATATATATGCAAATTGTGCATGCGTGCAGATATATCCTAACATAGGGTCTTTCAAATAGATATAAAACACAATATGTTAAATTGAAGTTCAGTTCTGTTTATCTTCATCATTTTTTCTCCTCTTCTTTTTACAAAGTCTTAGGACTTTTTTGTATCTTGGCATGACTAACTATAAAGGAAAAGAAGAAAAAATAGCAACAAACAGCTTTCATTATTGTTCTTTTTTTAGATTTAAAATAAATTTGAGTATATAGTAGATAAAAACTATATTAACATTGACACAAGGGCATTATTCACATGTTTCTTTAAATTGTTCCTTATTATTGACCAATCGAAACATCTTCCAAATTCCCTAACTCGAACAATGACTTTTAGTAGTTTTGTCACGTATCAGTCAATGTAAATAACCAATCGTATTCCATTTATATTATGATCTAATAATTAAAATCATCTTTAGAATACCAATTGACATCAAATCCGAAATATTGTAAACAAGCATATCATTTTAACTTTGGTTTGTAAAAATATTTTAAGTACATTTACATACTTTATGTCTAAAGCAACTGATGATCTTTACATAAGAAACAATTAACATTTCTTGTGGTTTTGATAAACTTTGGAAATTTTGCCGAGTAACATCGTATGTGTGCATATGTCCTTATGTTTATGATGAAATTCACTTACATACAACAGTACTCTCACATACGTTTGTTTTGTATGTAGTTTTCATTTGCATTTTACATATGATGACATATTTTAGAATTGAAGTCTCAATAAATATTTTTCTATATGCTATTATTTTGTTTGCAGGCTTTTACTGATGATTATAGTATTGAACTGAGAAACCATGTAATTTGAAACATAAAGTGCCATAATTGTTGTAAAAGAAGAAAGTATAAATAACATTTATAACAAAAACATTAGTAACAGAACATAAAATGTCAAATTGCCATTGAAAAATAGGTTAATAAATATAAACCTTCTACACTCCTTTTTGCAAAGTTTTACTATGGATTCAATAGCATAAGAATAAGTTTGCAACCAAAAATGCTTGAAGTATAAGTCTGCAACCAAAATGTGCTTGAACAAGATATTTTTGTGTATTGAACGTTAATTATTATCTTCGAACTTGCGAACTAAACCATTTGTACAGCATTGACAGAAACATATTTTGTTATTGTTAAATGCAGTTCAAAAGTTACAAATTCAAATAAATTAGGAGAAAACCCGACCAGAACAGTTCACATGTCAAATTTCAAAAAATATCTACATGATCAGTTTATATCTTCAATAACTTCGTCAAAAACAGAATCTAGGATGCTGAAACCATTAACCGAGTGTGGCATATATATTGCATTATGGAATAGACATACTAAATGAACTTCAAAATAACAAACAACCCCACTTGCCTGGCAAAAATTCGTTCACCCGTTTCAAAAAATCACGCCGTGTTCGGCATTTTGTCAAGTTTGCAACTAATTCGCTCGCTTGAACCAAGTGTGCAACCACTTCACGTCCTGCCCCTTGTTACTTGTAGTTATTATTCAATGCCTGACTAGTCCGGTAGAATTTTGGCAAAGCCTTAGAAAAAAAAAAGATTAATATCATAGGATTTTGTATCGCATACAAACATTTACAAATGAACTGTATAATAACGGTTTATTTAAAGCAAGAGTGGAAACATATTTTAGTAATTTAAATTATTTTCCAGGGATCCAGTGGCAGTCCAAACACTGATACTGTCACCTGTGCTTTACATACCTTTGATTGTATGAACATACATGTATATTAATTTTGACAAAGGTTACATCGTAAGCATACCTATGGAATCAATAAGCAGCTACGCAAGTTTTTGTCATGTAATTCATAAAATTTAATAAACCTAGCCCAGTAAATTTAAAATTCCCCCTTTTTTATTTTATTTAATGAAAAAACTTTTAAAATGGCCCTTTTTAAATTTTTCAAAAACCCTAGCGTTATATTACTTGGGTTTTATTAGCCCCTAAAAAGTAAAATTAAGTTAAAAAAGTGATAAGGAAAATTTAAAATTTTTATTAAGGGTGTGGAAAGTTTTGGGTTTTGGGAATTGGGGTTTAAACCCTTTTCCCTGGTAGTTTTACAGATAAATCAATGAAGCATAACAGAAGATCATTTTAATTTTGTAAATAAAGGTATGTAAACATTCTACTTTCTGCTCTAGTCGTGTATTTCAGTAGCATGTACATGTATAACGTTAATAACTTAGTGCTTAATACATGACAAATAAAGTGAAACTGAAACGGTTTTAGAGCTGATATTATTAAAACCTTGTACAGTGGCTAAATAATTGTCGCACTTACAAATTTTAGTTAAATAATGTTTAACATAACATTTGTTTAAATAATTATAAATATTTAGTGAAAGGTTGCTTTTCTAAATTGATATAATTGTTTAAATTATTTAACATTAGCTACAGGAAGTTTTATATTTGTTAAAAGTTTTTAACATTTGGCTAAAAGTTGATTAATCTTACATTTCTTCTTATGTTATGATTAAAGTATTTGCTATCATTGTCGTTTTTCAAGCAGACGATACTAATGTCTCAAGTTTATTAAGTGAACAAATAAAGTATATTGGTGAAATTTCAAAATGATGCAAATGTTTGAGGTCATTTTCAAAGTTTTTTTTGGGGCGCATCTTTTCATTCTGTAACAAACTTGATCTGTTGTTCGGAATAACATTAATGTTTTGTTGTTGGGAGATAAAATAATCAAGTAAACTTCACAAAAAATAGAAATATAACACAAACACTTGTATACTAATACCTAATATCGAGACGCTGACTAGCGTGCTACTGAGCATGCGCAATATGCGTATATTTAAACGGCAGAACTAATGTGTATCAAATAAGTCCCTTATAAGTGAAATATGTTGTCTTATAAGATCAATGTCTGTCTTTGAAACAACAAAATGTATATTCTAAAACTAATTACATGTTTACTCTACAACATGCATGTAATCTTGTAATGATTGTAGTTATCTGTTAAACAAATATATATGTTTGATTATTTCATCATAAAATAAAAGATAACATTTCAAGGTCTCTAAATATTTGAGGACAAAATTTGATGAATATAATCATGTGACTTAACGTTTTGCGTAATTCAACTATTAGATTAAGGTAAGAATCCCTACATAGGCAGATTAGTCAATTAGCACTTTGAAAAATTGAAAACTTTGAGTAAAGAAGCGAATCCTTACCAAGTTTTTGTATGATAGTGCTTTTGTTTGATTGTGGCAGGATTATGGCCTTGAATGTTATACTTCACCCCGTACACTCGAGAAGGCTGAATCTGGACTTTTGTATTTATGTTTTAGATAACATCAAATTTCCGAGATTTTGTAACAAAAGTGACAGATAATTTATGGCGATTTGCATTTCCTTATTAAAGTTTTATTTTTATTCAAATATTCATATATATACATTTGTAGTCATATGGAAATAAGTGTAGCTAACTGTTGGTTATATTACAGATAATGGACTCGTCGGCTATCAGGACTGACGTCGTCATAATAGGGGCGGGCATTTCCGGTCTCGCTACATTAAAATGTCTAAAAGAGGCGGGTCTTTCGGCAGTCGTACTCGAACGGACAGGGGAAGTAGGCGGGCTTTGGATGTTCCGAGAAAATGACTACGGTGTTATGAGATTTACGCACATGTAAGAATCAGTATAAGAAAGAAAGCTTAAATATGTTGTAATATAAAGAAGCAATGCTTTGTTGATTTCGCCTTTCCGTCCTATCACTAGAAAAAAATATATATTAAAGTAGTCACCAAATATAATCGGCATGTTCTGTCATTTATAGATTGTACTATTTTAATTTTAAATTTGTTACCGAATCATCTCGTTAACTTTGTGGAGGATGTTTTACTTAGAAACTGAACGTTGATACCAATCAAATGTTCTATGAAGTGTTTTTTTTAATAAAAAGCTGTTTTAAATTTTGAGATGAACACGATTTCTTTTCACCTTTACGATTCGTTCACCTTTACGCATTACTATGTCTAAATGTCTTAAACAAAAAAAAATGTACAGTGTTATTATATATAAAATGTATACTTGTATATATTAAAGTGTAAAATTGAATTGAACTTTGCTTTATGTGAGAAAATACTTTGAAAGATATTGTTTCTCTCGTGTTTGTAGAAATGTGTCTAAGTATAACTACTGTTTCTCGGATTTCCCGTTTCCAGACGACACTCCAGACTACCCCCACAACACAGACATGGCTAAATATATCGTTGACTATGTTCAAAACTTTAACCTTGAAGATGACATCAGATTTAGAAGAAAAGTTTTAGATATTGAGAAAATAGGTAAAGTTACGCACCAATGACTTTAATGCACCTAGTGTTTATATTCTGCTCACTTCGTTTCTTCGTTTAGCTATAGATACAACTAAAGTATTGGTTGGGACATAAAACCATTTTTAAAGAGTACATTTTAATGCAAGATACGGACAACGTGTCCACTCAGCAAAAACATAAAATTGGTCGTAGCATCAATGTGTTTTGATTTCATCATTTTTGCTTTTATCATACTACCAAGCACTGAGGATAGCGAAGCGTACTGTCCGAAGACAAACTCGAAAACATAGAAAGCTTATCAAATAAAATTATCACAATCTGTATTTAATTATAATGTTAAATATGTATCCCTATTGTTCACTCTTTCTTTGAACAGCAATGATATACTTTAATAGATAATTTGTTGGTCCATGGCATGGCACAAAATTACTAACTCGATGAACTAATTATGGTTGTTGTTGTTTTTAGACGACGAGTGGCAGGTTACAGCTAAATTCGTTGACGAAGACGGAAAGAGGATACTTGAAGGTGAATCTCCTGAAATATATAGGTCAAGGTTCATCGCTATAGCAACAGGTCATCATGCTAAACCAAGCATGGCAAAATTTCCTGGTCAAGACTCATTCACAGGTTTGCTCTTTTTTCTTTGATCTATTGATGATATTTATTGTAATGTCGTGTGTGTGATACTCGTCCCCTTTTTGGTAATAAAGTATATAAATTGTTCATATATCTGTAGTGCCATGCATTTCAGAGGAGATAATCCACAGTGTAAGTTATAATGACGCAATATCCAATGGTATGACGGGAAAGCGTGTACTGATTGTTGGGATTGGTAACAGTGCGGTTGATGCTGCAGTTGATTGTGCAACAGTCGGGAGGTGATAAATTATCTATTTTCTATGGTAGCTGATTTGTGCCATGTCCTATGTTCGTTCCGCAGGGTGCTAGACAAAAACACGTGGAGCAAAAATACAGAATGGCACAAATCAGCCATCACAGTTTACTGACATGGCGTAAATCAGCCACCATAATTTACCGTTAAGTCTCTATTAGCCTCTTCAAAATTATAAATACTATATTTAGACACCATTCAAGCAATTGCTTCCGATGCAACCTATTGGCGCCTGTCAATCGAAACATTAGGCAGAAAGAGAATGTTGATTCTTGCAATATTTATGGTTTATTATATATGTTGATGGTAGTTATACATGTTGACTTCAATATCAATGTTACCCATTACAATTTACTTTTATGTAATAAATGATATTTTTGTCTGTGACGGTTTACTCATTATAAAAGAACCTCAATTTATTTCTATAAGAAGGCGATGATATGGATGAAAGTTTTGTTATTAACGTTTTTTGTCACGCGTAAAACATTGGTTCTTTAATTTAAAGTTTATTCTATATGTCTTGCATAAAAATACCTTTTAAGTTAAAATGTTGTTTTTATACTTTTTAATAGGTCAAAGTCAGTGTATATAAGCACCCGGTCTGGAGCTTGGGTTGTGCCTAACTACATATTCGGACATCCCACAGATATATACGCATGTCGGCTTTTCTTCAAACTGCCTTTCACACTTGCCAACTTTATATTTGAGAATGTGATATCTCTGGTCAGTGGACACCCTACACGGTAATATTTGCTTGTATCATAGTTTGGAGACTGTGATGAAAACGTGTCAGAGTTAAATCTTATACCAATACAACGTATTGAATACATGCATAGTGCGTTAACTAGAGTGCAGGTATTAGTTACCTGCACTCACTGTCTGTCTGTCTTGAGCATGCTCGTTGATTGGCTTATTCTTTCTGGTATTTACTTATTGCGACGACAGAAAAAGAGATAACGATAGAAAAGTCATATTCAGATGCTCCTACATTGTTAACTTTTTTTCTGGGTTTTAATATTGTGACGACATGGAACATGTGTTTTTGCCAATGATATAAAAGAGAAAGAATATCAAAAAATTAGGCATTTATACTAGTCCCCTGTTACAAATCAGATAGCCTGTGTTTCGTTGCTCTTCCTATCACTAGATTTACAATGTATCTTACATAAGACATACAGTATATTTTACAGTGATTTTACAATATACTTTACAGTATATTTACTGTGGGATGTCAGTATACTTTACAGTAGATTTACAGTATACATGTAATTAACAAACAGCAATTATGTTATATTTTATGATAGATTTACATTATATCTAACAAACGGTTTAAAGTATACCTAACCTTACAGTATATTTATGTCATATCTAACAATATACTTAACTCATTACCTTGATGGTTAGTTAATAAATTCTGTAAAACAAGCAAAATTTTTAGTTATATTTGAATTGTACTTACTTTATTTAGATGGAAGTTAAATCCAAAGATGAGAGCGTTACAGAGTCAGCCAACAGTCAGCCCTACATTAGTACATCATATACAAAGACATAACATCAAAATCGTACCAAATATACAGGTATACCCATAGTACAACATTATTGATACAATGATAAAAAACGTTATTTCGAGATAAAAAAAGGTTTATTTCAATTTAAAATTTATGTCAGATAAGCGCAAAAAACATATATGTTTTTTTTTAATCCAATACTTGATTTTATATTAAATACTTGATATGATACTTATATTTTTTTCAAAATCTAATTTTAAATAAAATTTGACTGTCTAAGTTCCTTTGTTGAAAGGGTACAAGATTTCACTATTTCTTTTTTTTTTTAAATTTCATTTTTAAGAAATCATATGTTCTTGCCCTTTCCACCTTTTGTATTCTGCTATACTGGGTTGATGAAGTATTTGTCAGCTTTTTAGCAAATGGTCTAAATGATCCTTAACTCTTTCTTGCTATTTCATTAATTGTTATCCCACTTGGGGATTCTGTAAATTTAAGAGTGTAACAACTTGTATTACAGTTTGTTTTCACGCCTGTTATTTTTGAAAGTTCAACCCATACATTCAATGTCAAACCTAGACAAGATATTATTGTGACTGATTACTTTTCACAGAGAATTGAAGGTAGTCGCGTATATTTTGTGGGCGGAAAGAGTGAAGAATTTGACAAGATTATCATGTGTACAGGATATAGGATAGACTTGCCTTTCCTCAGTGAAAACATGCAAAAACTAGTGCTTAATAAGGAAACTAACGAAATAAAGGTACATCTGTAATTTATAAGCGGTTTCAAATTGTTGGCAACATATTTACAGCGTGTATTAGTCCGTTTGCTTAGTTCCAAAACCTGGTTAAGTTGACACAATGGTTAGTATGAAGGCGTGATTTGCACACCGCCTCATTCAAGTAGAACAAACACTAACATATGAAAATCAAAAATTTATGATATCACTTGATTGAAAATCAATTGTAACACTTTTATTACCCCGACCCATAGCATCTGCAATATCATTGTTGTTTAGAATTTTCTTAACTGTCATATCCTTGCGTTAACATCAATGAAATTTTGAAGCTGTTTCCTTATTTTTAAACATAGGTTTAAGCCAAACTTAAAGTTTATAAATATAACAATTGTATTATTTTTTGTTCGAAACATATACATTGTATTAATTCATGAAAAGAAGACGAATTTTAAAAAAAATAATATTTAGTTTTGAACTTGTTAAAAAAGTAACTCAAAACAACCTCATTATGCTTTTCAAGCGCACAAACACTGAATTGCACTTTGAACTGAAAATTTTTCAATTTCCATACTTCTACTTAAAATATAATATTAAACGTGAAAAATAAAAGTTAAAAAAAAAAGGAACAAAAAAAAACAAACAAACAAAAAAACATGAAATAATATATGAATATATTATCTTAAAACTGTTCCAAAATTCTGTACAAAATCTATACATCCAAAAACTCTTATAATATTATTGCATGTGCAGGCTACTTGTTATTAAAATCTGTTTTAACTTATGACAATGATGATTTCTCTATTTTCAAAAGCTTTTCAAGAACGTGTTCAGCCCGGATATTGGCCGGACATTGGCTTTCATAGGGTTTGTGCAGCCGGCCTCTGGTGGTGTGTTGACCATGTCGGAAACTCAGGCAAGATGGTTTGCACAGATGTGTAAAGGACGTGTTGGATTACCTAACAGGTCAGAAATGGTGCGAGATATGGAAGAAGAAAAGGTTAGATTTTGTTTTTTATTTTATGTTTTTATTTTATTATTTTAATATTTTTTTCATCTTCAAAAGGTCTTATGACATTTGTAATCGCATTATGACACTTTCTAATAAATGTTAGTGGAACTAATTATACAGGCATGGTGTGGTTACAATGTGGGGCTCATCCCATGTTGTTGTTACGCTATTAGCACCTCTTCACCTCATTTGTGTTTTCGGTCAGGAATTTTCATTGTGTGGTTGCATTATGTTACTAGTATTTTATCTCTTTCTAGTCTCTCATCTCTATAAGTCATTTATTTTTGTATTTAACATGCAAATTAGTTTGTCTACAAGCTTTTTTTTTACACAATTGTATTATTTTGTTGTTAATGCTCATTTGTTTGTGAAATTTGCTATTTATAACACTGATGCCCATATGGGCCTAGTTGAAAAAAAACTTGCAACAAGTTTAAATTATGACAAAATTAGATTGAATCTGTTAATTTGCGGTAATGGTTATAGACCCCCGCTTGTACTTAAACAGAGTTCAACATTTAAGTATGGGAATGGCGAAATTAAGAATTTAATGACGTCTACAGATGTTTTCATACGGCAGTTATATGGAACATTTAATGTAACATGTTCATGCCATTCCGTAGAAAGTGGCGTATTGCTCCCAAGTAAAATAAAACGTGTGCACTAGGCGAGGAAACAAAGGGCGGAACTAAATTGAACGGAATACCGAGAGTGATCATAGGTAGTTTAACCTGGAAATCATGGACTGATGTCACGGGACAAAAACATAGTTCAATGATTATTAAACTTTTTCCAAAATTGGAATACTAGAACCATTCATTAAGAAAAAATATTCGATGGAACTAAAATACCACAACCAACTGCCATAGGTACTTTATTAAACCGTCAACATCTGTATATACTAATCATTTTCGTTTATTTCTATCTCAAAAGTCGATCAAACACTGATGATGTTTTTCATTTGGTTTATTTTCTAGAGCCAGTATGAAGGAAAATATACCAAATCAGCTCGTCATACCATTCAGAAAGACCCTATAGTCTATAATGACGAGGTTGCAGGATTTATAGGTGCTAAACCAAGTTTATTGAAACATCCTGATCTAGCATGGAGGTACTGTCTTAAATTATTTATTGATCCAGTTAAAGTATATTTACGTTTCATATGGAAGTTGAACAACAAGATCCATTTAATGAAAGTCTGAAGTCTGAATTTCAAATACAGTACATGTATTCTGAATTGACAATGTTTTATCAAACGATCATATCTTAGACTGGTCGTAAGTAAAACCACTATGAACAAATATAAAAAAAATATTTCATGCTTTCCAGTGTTTTATTGTAAAATATCAGATGATTATATTCTAATAAAAACCAAGAGTGAAATTTATAAAATATAATTTTCACTGTAGCCTGACTATATTTGAAAGCGGATGAACAGAAAATCATAACTAAATGGAATAACAGGCAGAAATAAATGCCGTCATGCGTAAATTTTGCTTCTTTGGGAAAAGAAAGTCAATGTCATCATACATCATGTTAGAAATTTAACAAAATTAGAGAAATTTAACAGAACTAGATTTCAAAACTGATGATGTGACTTCATGATATAATGACGTCACAAAGGAGAATGCGCGACGTTACGCGGCAAAATCAGTAAAAATTACTTAAAATCACTTAAAAAGCATAAAATAAAAAGAAAATTTATTTGTTTTACATATAAGATTGAAATATATTTCAATCGTGAACACCAGCTATTATATTTTCACTCGTGGCTACGCCACTCGTGAAAATATTGCATCTGGTGTTCACTCACAAACTCCTCACAGTGATTACCTCCCTTGGCAGAATTGTAATCACTGCCCTCACAGACGTCATATGATGATGAAGGTCACATGACGTAACGTCGAAATTCAAATGTAAATATCGACCGTTACATAGAAAATCTAACGTCATTTTTCCCTTTCTGTTTTATTTTTAACTTTTGTACCTACGTCTTTTATATTATATCAAAATAATGAAAAATAAATTAAAAAACTAAAAAATATAAATATCCAAATTGTTTGTGATGGCAGAGATCTCTGTACTGATAAGGGGAGATCACTGCGTAGGAGATTGGTTCACTCAGTGAAATTATATTTCAATCTTACATGCAAAACAAACAAATATCCTCTATATAATTGATTTTACAATTCCACAAAATAGAGAAAAACGGAATCCCTAAAGAACACAAAAATGGTGCGTTTGATTGACGGTAGTGGTTATTGCAGGCTACCATCCAGGCTCCCTAGCACCGGTTTAAGCAGTATTCATTATTTAAACATGTACATGTAAATGGTTAAATAATTGAATTTCGGAACTTCTGGAAATGCTTTTAAACGGCGTTAACCATGAAACCATTTGAAAATGCGACATGTTCTTGCCATTTCATGAAAAGCGGTGTTACGGTTTCCAATGTAAAAGAATGCTTGAGCCCTAAACAAGAAAACAGTGGGCGTGTCATAATAAGACTGTGCAGTACATGTATATCATTAAGATACAATTTATTTAAATATTTTTCTTGAGTCTACTATCTTTCATTTTATCTTCAATATTTTGAATACATCATATGAATTGATTGAGATAAACACACCACATGTCGTGTTTTCTCCCTTGTATATATTTTGAGGAAGAGGTCAAAGAGATATCAAGATTGCTAAATTCTGATAGATTTAACACGAAAAAAGTTTCTACAGTCCTTACCATGCTATGTATCTTAAATTGACCAGTCAACTTTTCATTCTTGATAAATTATTTATCCTTTTAAGGGAAAATAGCAAAATATGTACTCCCTGAATAACGAACAGTGCAGATCATGATTGGATTACATTTGACCTTGGTCTGCACTTGTCCTATTTGCAATTGCAACTACTCGGCCCTTTCCGTCAGTCTTCGGATAATTGATAATAGCCGAGGCAGTTCCGAATGGTCCTAGGATCAGTTGTCGTCTGCGGCGGAAGAGTTAAAATAACGAACATTTGATATTACACTGTAGTTTCTTTCCAATATTAAGATTGTTTTTAGTCTTAAAAATAACGAACACATCACATACTTTACAGGTTAATTCTAGGATCGTGCGGTGCATATCAATGGAGGCTTCAGGGACCAAACAAGTGGGAAGGGGCTAAAGAAGCGGTGAAAAAAGTTCCCTTAACAGAATTGATGCATTATTCTGGAATATTTGCACTAGTACTCGTGACTGTGATAATATACTATTTATATTCTTTCTTTACTGGTTTGTTTTGAGTATGCGTTCAACTCGTCAGAAAATGAATTATTCTATTGACATGCATTGTTTGTGTACTGGAACAGATATAAATATTTTTTTTAAAGAGGGGTACACAGGTACACTGATTTTTTAAAACGCCATGTCTCTAATCATTATTACTGGTATAACGTGTTTTTGTTGTTGTTCTTATGTTGTATCTGTTTTTATTAATTTTTCATAATGATTCTATTACGATTAAAAAGTCCGATGAAATGTAGTTTAATTAAATGTATATATACATTTGTGTATAGCATCGCAGTGGTATTTTCAGGCTATTTAATTAAGATGTTTTATGTACATCTAATTTGGTGTTTTTGATCAAAATATAAAGGCACATAATGCCTCAGAATCGAGTAAAAAAATTTTTCTTTAGAAAGGGCAAACAGAAGTTTTATAACGTTTTTATTTTGTTTATATATCATGTTGGATGCTTATTACCTAAAGTGAGTAGCCCTGAATGTGAAATTGTTCATTATAAAAGTAGGAAAATGTAAACAAAGTGACATTTTGACTGCAATATCAATGCTTAATCACCAATACTGTTATATGTTATAATTGCCGAAAACGCAAGAGAGACATTGAACGGGTCAGGCAATAGGCCCATGAGTAATGTGTTTTGGAAACTAAAACTATAAAATCATTTTTGGGGCATAATGGGCTTTTAATTCAGCAATTTTAGATCCATTAAGTAAAAACTGTTTGAAGATGCAATCAAAACGTATGTATGTTTTCTAACCCAAACAGTGCCATAAATATGAGTGTACCAAACAGTTACATTGGCAATCCATTTTGCCCATTTGCTTTGTACTGATAATAAAGTTTGCTATTTTTCACTAACAAAAAATATAGTCAATGTAGTCATTTTTTCCAAAATGGAATTAAAAATCGAATATCTTCTAGTCAAACCGATGATTTGATAATTGATCTTAGATACTTTGTGATTATTTTTAATTATACGACAATTCTTTTTACAATTTTAATTATTTTTTACGTATTTTGAGTTCATTTCACGAATGCATGTTATGAATGTGTTTTTCAGAAGTTTCTGTATGTAAGTGGTGGGGGAGGGGGTAGAAAGGGCAGGGAGGGACGTGTCAAAGTAAAAAAATGTTACAGGGAAAATATGAAATATAATATGACATAACGAATATACAAATGAAAAAAAAATAATTAAATGATAAATAATGTTGCCATATTTCTTAACATACATGTACTTAATTATAGTACAGAAGTACAGAAATTCACTCACGAAAGTATCCCCTTTATAATATGTTTGTGTGTTTTTAACCAATGCTTTATTAGCTCACCAGAGCCGAAGGCTCAGGTCAAGCTATTAGTATCAAAGGGGGATGCTCCGGCGTCCTCCGTCCGTCGTCATGCGTCAACAATTGTCTTCTTCTCTGAAACTACTGGGCAGATTTACTTCAAATTTGGTCTTTATCATCCTTGTGACAGTCACACTTGAATTTGCTAATGTCATTCCAATTGGCCCCTTTTAGGGGTCAGCAGAGCTAAAAATAGAAAAACCTTTAAACATCTTCTTCTACAGAACAAATGGATGGATGATCACCAATTTTTGTCTGTAGCATTCTTGGGTAGTGTTTTAATAAGTTTGCTCATATTAATTTGATTGGCCCCTTTTAGGGGCCGCAAAAGCTAAAAATAGAAATACCTTTAAATGCCTATTTCTAGAGAACTAATTGATGGATGATCACCAAACTTTGTCTGTAGCATTCTTAGGTAGTCTTTTATCAGGTTTGCTAATATTATTTTGATTGGCTCCTTTTAGGGGTTTCTAGGACTAAAAATAGAAAAACCTTTAAACATCTTCTCCTACAGAACTAATTGATGGATGATCACCAAATTTTGTTTGTAGCATTCTTGGTCTTTTATCAAGTTTGCTCATATTAATTTGATTGGCCCCTTTTAGGGGCTGCTAAAGCTAAAATAGAAATACCGTTTAATGTCTATTTCTAGAGAACTAATGGATGGATGATCACCAAAGTTTGTCTGTAGCATTCTTGGGTATTCTTTTATCAAGTTTGCTAATATTATTTTGATTGGCCCCTTTTAGGGGTCTCTAGAGCTAAAAATAGAAAAACCTTTAAACATCTTCTCCTATAGAACTAATTGATGGATGATCACCAAACTTAGTCGCTAGCATGCTTCGGTAGTGTTTTATCAAGTTTGCTCATATTATTTTGATTGGCCCCTTTGAGGGGCCGCAAAAGCTAAAAATAGAAATACCTTTAAATGTCTATTTCTAGAGAACTAATTGATGGATGATCACCAAACTTTGTCTGTCGCATTCTTAGGGAGTCTTTTATCAAGTTTGCTCATATTAATTTGATGAGCCCCTTTTAGGGGCCGCTTAAGCTAAAAGTAGAAATACCATTAAATGTCTATTTCTACAGAACTAATGGATGGATGATCACCAAACTTTGTCTGAAGCATTGTTGGGTTGTCTTTTAACAAGTTTGCTCATATTATTTTGATTGGCCCCTTTCAGGGGCCGCTAAAATTAAAAATAGAAATACGTTAAAACATCTTCTCCTACAGAACTAATAAATGGATGATCACCAAACTTTGTCTGTAGCATTTTTGGGTAATCTTTTATCAAGTTTGCTCATATTCATTTGATTGGCCCCTTTTAGGGGCCGCTAAAGCTAAAAATAGGAAATCCTTTAAACATCTTCTACTTCAGAACCAATTGATGGATGATCACCAAACTTTGTCTGTAGCATTCTTGGGTCTTCTTTTATCAAGTTTGCTTATATTTATTTGATTAGCCCCTTTTAGGGGCCACTAAAGCTAAAAATAGAAAAACCCTTCGAACATCATTTCCTACTGAAATAATTGAAAGATGATCACCAAACTTTGTAGCATTCTTAGGTAGTCTTTTATCAAGTATGCTCATATTAATTTGATTAGCTTGGTTTAAGCTAAAGCTTTAATACCCCAGGTCATTGCATTTTTTCAAATTATTGTTTAAACATATTCTATGCTCAAATTTTATATTAGAATATATTGACATTCTATCACTGAAAAGCAGTTGTTTCTGGTGAGCGACTCAGGGCCATCATGGCCCTCTTTTTTTTTGATTATGTGCCATTGTATACACATCGGTCTCTCGAATCGACAGTAAGAAATTGGATTACACAACGGACTATTGAAAATAGTCTAAAGCGAAATAATACATTCTCGTTAGCCTAAAGTAATACATTTTTAAATATCTACATTATTTTGTCACTTCATTAATTTGATTCCATAGACTGATAAAAAATGTATATATAAAAGTTAATAAATTTTATTTTTATGATCATAATTTGCATGTACTTTATTAACTATTCATGGTACTAAACAACCCGTTTGTTCCAATCTAAATTACTGGTATTAAATGATATAACTTAAAAAAGTCGTCTGATGAACTTCAGCAGATCACAGTACCCTTAAAGGGAGACACAGGCAAACTTTTTATTTCTTAGTTTTGAATTTTTCATTCATAATTCTATAAATGTCCTCAAAATTAAATCACTAGACTGTCACAGGAGCAAAACTTTTCTCCTTATAAAGAATAAAATGGTGGTTTCCTAACTTGACTCACGTGGGTCACGTTACAGCGTGAAGATTTCACAATACATGAAGATGTCACAGTGAAATCTGGAAACGTTAAAGCACATACCAAAAGAACGACTTGTATCAATAATACAGTATCCACACTATCTGTTATTGTAACTTCCAGAGTTTGTTAAAGTCACATGACTTGTTTTAAAAACCCTCGGTGATTCTGTCGGCGTCTAAATTCCGTTGAACATATTTAGATACATTCATACTTCAAACCCAAAATATATAGAAATTATGCTGGGACTTTAAAAATGTCATTTTAGTGTGATTTGAATGCACAAAATCATTTTAATATTTTTTGTCATTAATTTGCCTGAGTATTCCTTTAATGCAATAGATGGTTTTATCAGTCCTTCCTATGTTAGAATCAAATGCATCATGCAAATTTTTTCTTTTCTTTTTTAAAAAAAAATAATCTTAACCTGAATATATAGATGTAGAAAAGTTCAAATTAAGTTTGCATTGGTTATTATCAAAATACTTCTTCACTGTTGTTGATTAACCTTTTGAATCAGATAAAATCGCTTTTTAAATTGTTTTATATTGATAAACATTATTCTCTCTGTATCAACCTTTTTTTGCATAACGCAGAATGCGCATGCGCCAATTGATATTTCCGTTTCATACGCAAAATCGTAATGTAAAAAATGGTCTATATTGCTACATATATATATTTTTACATTATCTAAAGTATAATACACAGACGCAAAATGGTTATAATTTAAATGAACTTCTTGTATACATATTACAGATGCTTTTCTCTTCCGGTTCGAGTGTTTGATAGGTTAGTTTGACCTAACCTCAGTGTTAGTTTGATCTGACCTCAATGATTGTTTCATTTGACCTCAGTGTTGTTATAAACAAAATGTATATTCGGTACCCCCAGGAGTATTCATTCCGATAAATTAAGTGTTTAAGATTGAATACTGAATTTAGGTCGGTGCTTGGGTACTTCAAAGATATTGCATCTTTCAGCTAATATAATTTAATTAACCTGTAATGGTGTCAACTTTTAAGAAATTATTATGTTTCATGAAACTTAAATTGGTTACAGTAGAAAACGTTATTGGAAGCAGTAATTTATTCAGCTATAAATGTAAAACGATAAAATATCTCTCGGCAAACGTATTGTATATGTTAGCATATAAGCCCTAAAATGTGTTTGCCAGAAAATTATATATTTTATAATGATTATAACTTTAATAATATTGGTAAGATCATCTCGTCAAAACAGTCGAAATACAAATAATAGAAAGCACATCATGCGTAACAATGATATTTTATGTGACGCAGACGATATATCGAAGTATCCTAATATGTCGTCTGCCTTTTGTAAGTTAAAAAAGAAAAATGAAATGTGACATATATCTTTCAAAAGAGACGAGAATTTAAGTAGAACACTAAAAAAAAGCGACCCGTATGGCATAATTTGTCATTAAAAACCAGCATTATATTTTAGTACAGCAAGCACAATTCACTGTAAGTAGAAAAGAATGAAAAATACCAAATACAATATCTTTTTATACGCCCGAAAAGAAAAGCCGGCGTATAATGTTATGCAACTGGTCCATCCGTCCATCCATCTATCAGCAGTTTTCGTGTCCAGTCAACCAGTTGAAGGAAACTAAACGTTTTTGGCGCAAATGTTAACCAAAATGAGACGATATACTGAGCGCAGTTTTGACCTTTTCTCAGGTCAAGGTTACACTTTATTTTATATCATTTTCAGAAGTTCGTGTCCGCTCTGTATCTTTTGAACCGAAAAAAAAGAAATTAAGACTTTTTTTAAACTTATTACTTATCATGAGACGGTATGCAGAACACATGTTCGGGCTTCTAGCCCGGGAATTACTTGATTTAAATAGACGTTTATAGTAAAACACATTTAAATTTCATTATGCGAAACCACAATGCCCATGCCCTTTGATTCAATGTTGGTCCCGCCCAATTGACTAATTGATTTATATAGACTTATAAAGCAGAACACATCTCAGACATATTTTGAGACTGCTAGGCCAAGACTTAATATTAAGCATGTAAATCAGTTTGTGGACCTCAAAATAACTTGTTTTAACCCTTTATCTCATATATACGCGAAACAAAGCACTTTCGACACCCCCTCCCTCTATAAGGCCTTAAATAGTGAAAAATGTCCTATTTGGGCCCCAAACACATGTTTTTGTTTGAGAAATGTTGCTAAAAAAGTGAGCACTTTTTCGGCGCCGCCCCCCCCCCCCATTCAAAAGATACATCAGGGGGTTGCCAGAAGGAGGGGGTGGGGGGGGGTTTGAAGGGGGGCGGGCAGTCCTCCTCATCGCCAAGAAAATTTTGGACTTGTGAGAGGCTAAAAATGACCCTAGGTCAATCATAAGATAACGTGTAACCAACGCTGAAAAGCCTTTGACTCTATCTCAATCCCTTGAGAAGTTGCAGCACTTTGAAATAAATTTTGAGGCAAAATAGTGATTTTTGGCAATTTTGAGACGTCCGGTTAATTAAGGTGGCAAGTATTTAAGGAATTGCTTTTAAATAACTAGTTTTAAAGTTAGTAAGATTTTTATTAATATGAAATGATTGGTCATTTGCTTTTAATAACTTTTTATGTCAGTTAAATTTTTTGAATAAAATTTAAATTTTACTGATTTCTTTAGTCTCTTAAATGCATTCATTAATGGAAAAAAAATCTTAATAAGTATTAGTGAATTTTTTTTTGTACTATAGAAAGTTAGTAGGGGCTATGTAATATCACTTTACTTTGGAAAATCGTCTATTATTCAGATGAGTAAACTGATTAAGTGTTTGAAATTAATTTTATCAACGCACACATTGGTAAGTGTCCTGTTATTTTGTAAATGCTTACTACTAAACACCAGGGGAATTCTATTTGAAAGACCCTGCAAACACTAA